AATATTAGTTCTAAGAATTCTTTTTTTGAAGGCATAAACATTTTAATATCGCTTAAAATTTTATAAAAAGCCAAAAAATAAAGACAATAAATTTATAAAAAGACATTAATTTAACAATTTACTATGCTTTCATGGTTCAACATCCTGATTCGCCGGTTCATATCACGCGACCGCAAGCGTTCTCATCTCACGTAAACTACTGTACAAAAATCTAATGCTTTCAGTAATTATCTACATTAATTTCAAGTTAAATCTTAATTTGGAACACAAGTTTAAATGCAATAAGTATTTCAATTTGTACGAATAGCTTACTCAGAAATTATGTATAAGTGCAGTACTTTACTTCGCTAATGTATTTCATTAGAATTGATGAATTTAACCCTTTATCTTTTCTATATTTTTGGCTTCGGGTAAGCGCTGTGATTGCATCCTAATTGACTTAATTACCGAAAATGGCCTTAAACATAAAACTGAAACTATCTGATAAAATTCTATGTAATTATATGCCAGTATTGAAAGAAAAGAAAGAAACAAACCAATCTGATAAGAAAAAGCTGCGACTTGTTTTGAAATGTGGCGTAAAAGGTTACCAGCAAGAATATTCCGTTTGGCATCGGTTGTACCATTATTGGCGACTTTATCGCTTGCGCCGGCAAAACGGAAAAGTACCTTTTTAACTAATGCTAACAGTATTACGACAGCTGCAGGCCAATATCGAAGCTTTCCAGTGTTTGTTTTTTTTTTTTTTTTTTTTTTTTTTTTTTTTTTTTTTTGTTGGTGTTGTTGAAAGCGAACTCTATAAGATTCTGTGAATATGATCTTCATTTTTTTTCGGGGGGGGGGGATTTCAAAATTATACTGATGAATACTTTTCATAATAATCTGTATAGAAATTCTTGTCACTTAATCTCTTAACATCAGAAATCTTTTTATAATTTTATTTTTTACTTTAATTTACGGAAGCATGCAAACATCTAACTCTTCAATTAGTTAACGACCCCTAAATATTATACCCGAACTAACAAAATATCTCCGTCAATTTTTGTCGTACGGAAGTCAAAGTTTTGTGTTTTATTTTTTGTGTTGAGTAAAAAATATTCCTAAATGTAAGTAGAGGGTCTTGTTGGACGCATAAAAAGTTAAATTTCGTATTTTGCGGAAAATTCTTTTTTTAATAAAAAAAAAAAAAAAAAAAAAAAAAAATACGAAAACATGAATGTTTACATCATTTAAAACATTTTTGTAATTAAAAGCATAAGTTTACGACCAACGGTTGAGAAAATAAATGCCGGGTAATGCTTTTGTGGCCATGATGTTTACAGCAAATGTAGGTTTTACCTTACCTAATCACACATATATATTATTTGAATGGGCTATTTTAGTTCGGTTTATTGCAAGTACATCAGAAATTTAATATGCTTATTACGAGCATAAATATGTTACAAATTTAACTTTTTTTTTTACTCAAATCTGAATGTTTTGTTTTCAAACGCAAGCATTGATTTAAAAATTATTTTTCTAAGTTTGAATTCTTTAAAGTTTCAGTCATAATTAAATGAATGCTCTGAAGTAACCCAATACTGATAAATTTAAACTACGTAGTTTCCAAATAACACAGGACTTACATATGTTCACACGTCTGATGTATTTACGGCGGCAAGCACATGCCGCTGAGCTAATAAAACAGTCAGCTATGCAAAATGCGCTATTTTTTCTAATAAAACTCAGCTCTACGCAAAAGTTCTTTCAATCTTTTTAATCAATCAAGAGTTTGTAAAAAGTTTTTTCAATGCAAGAACTTATGTTCAACTCTGAAAAGCTAATTATAAGTCAAACTCTTCTGTGCATTCAGGAAAATTAGCAAATAATAATCACTTTTTGCATTTATTCAAATTCAGAAACATTATTAGCAAAATAAATAGGATAGGAATTCCCAGATTTTAACCATAAGTATTAAATAAGAATTCTTAATGTCGACAGATTTTGACAGACAAATGATCCCACATTTGGAAACATGCTTCAAATTTTATTACGCTTAAGTAAAGGCACAACTAAATTAAATTGTAATACCTTCAATATTATTCAAAAGGCAAACATTATTTGAAGAAATAAAGTGTTTTTTAAATCAACATGCACCATGCACATGCAAGCGAAGTTCATATAATATAAAGCATAGATCGCATTCTTTAATTATTATTATACTACTAAACTGTTACTACTATACGCCACTAACCCTTCAATCGTTTACAACAGCACGAAGTTTTTATTCTTATAGAAAATGTCCACCATAATGCCAAAATTACAATTAAAATGTATATAGTTAAAATTGTATTCGAAAAAAAATTTATATATAAATTTGTTTTACATGCCTACACTAAATAAATGATCAGGATTCCTAAATTTATTTTGCTAACAATTAATCCCTTTACTTGACCTGTTTCATACATCCTTATTTTTTAATGATTTTCGACTTCTCTAGGAAGTACAAGTTATTCAATGAAATTAAGAAATTTAAGGAACTCTGCAATTCAACATTTGATGATGACGATTGATATAACAGGTTATTGCATCGACTGATGTTAAATTTTGTTTCTGGTTTACTCAACTGAACAAATTTTGCTTCGGTTATGAAGCTAATACACAAGTTTCCAAGCCTGAGAAGTAAAGGTTAAAAAAAAAAAAAAAAAAAAAAACAACTCGGCATCAAGTCTTGTAGCCAACTGCCATGTAGTCTTCAAGTCTTGTAGCACGATGCAGAAGTTCCTGCTACAACAAATCCAAAGACTTTTCTTATCATAGCCATTTGCACAGAAGTTCTCGCACTGCTTTCAGTCCATGCAGATACTGAAGGGGAAAAGCTAGTGGGCAATCGCCAAACAAAATCACATATTGACATTTCTGTTTCGGTTGTGTTCCAAATCTCACACATCGAAAGTTTGCCTCAGATAGAATGTGGGCAGAAAAATAAAAGAGAGATTGGACACCTTCGATAATTGCGGAAGAACATATAAGACGGAACTGTCTACATATCAACCGCATTAACCCGTCTCCTGACAAGCCATGGCTCACTTCTTTTCGCACTTAATCCGCTTTCGTTTGAGGAAATAACGACAAATGCACAGGCGGCAGCATAAGAGATCCTGAATATCCTGCTTTTGCGAACTCAGCAGTATCATCTCAACAAGCCACCCACAGATAATCAGCTAGCATGGGTTCAAAATACAATATGCACCAGCACAGCAAAAAGGATTTACAACAGAAGCAATGAAACACTTTACTACTATTGCTAACAAAGTAGTAAATAGTTCACTGATTTAATACAAATATTTAAATGCTAATAACACTGTATTTACAACATGTAATTATCTCTGCATATAATTTAGGTATCACATACGCAGTTCACCCTACGAAAACAACCTTTATTTCGTATGTATTCTTATGCAATTGCATAACCAGTAGGTAATATTATTGTATTGAACATCCAATATACATATATGTATAAAAAGTCCTTGTATTTTAACAAATTCCCCACTGCTTGAACGATAAGAACTGCACAGTTGTTTCTTTAAAGTCGATCAGCTATAATGGACTTCGCAAAGTCATCTACGAAAACTTCATTGTAAACAGCAGTTTTAGAAATTGAGAGTAATGAAATTTCAAACAGATCCTTAACAAAATATGCCACACTCAGTTTGCGGAATAGAGAGTAATAAAATTTCAAATAGACCCTGAACAAAATATGCCACACTAAGATGCCTCAGTTAGAATGCAGAAAGAAAATGCGATCTACCAAGTTATCATGAGCGTAAATATCTGCATTTTACTTCATGCTGTTGGAAGCGAGTGATCCTTCCATCAATATATTAAAGCATTCAATGCATTTCTATCAACAGAACATTTCTGCTATAATTTTAGTAAAATTGAGTCAATAAGAAGAATAAAAATGCTATAACATACGCAAAAAATAACTACAGACGAAATCCACTACTTTGCATTTAACGCGTCATCACTTAACTTGTATAAAAACGATGAGTTCTGTTGCATTTAATACGTCACTACTGCTTCTAGATCCCCTTCCTTCCGAAAATCAAGATGTAATTGCAAACTAAAAAATGTAACAGTTTGCATATAGTCGAAATTCGAAAAATAAAATTAATTCGAAAGTAAATATTAAATTCTTGTTTTAATTAGTAGATGTATTTGGGAAGAGGTGCAGATAAAGTGTATTATAATTATGTATTATAGTTTGATATTAATACGTTTATTGTATCAGTGCATTACCAAGAGCCCTTTTACTTTTACATTTAATACCAGAATTTTAGCAATCGACTTTGCAAATGATTTTAGCAATTGCTTAAGATTTTGCTCAGTATTTTAAACCATATAGTTTTAAAAACTCATTCCCAACATATAACTTATAAAGTTTACAAGAGTTTAAACAGTGAATCCTAATACAAGACGAAAACAGAGTTCCACCGAAAAGTACAAAGATGAAAATAAAAACTACATGAAGCAAAAAAGAAAGGGGGAACTAGTAGAAAAAGAAAACGTCATACTTATTAACGCATATTAATAAAATCTTAAAATGCTTTTTTTGTTTATAATTTCATTTTGAAAGCACAAAGGGTAGGCGCTACAGACGGGAATCTATTTTGAACATTCATTGAATGCAAACACCCTGAATATACCAAGGACATCTAATATTTAAATACCAAGCACTACAGTTGCAAATCAGCAAAGGCGAAAGTTTTACTGGACAAAATAACAGTAAAAAAGGTTCTAAATCATTTGACACTTATAAGAATATTTATCTTTACATATTATTTATGCAAACTAATAAAATGCGTTTCTTATATAAGAGAAGTTTAAAAAAAAAAAAGGAATTCAAAAAGGAATAAGGGAGCACACAAACACCGATGGTTTGGCACATGCAAGGTTCTTCTCTCAAGAGTTAAGGTTGCATTCGATTAGTGCACTCCTCTATATTATAAATATCATACTTGCAATGGACTGCCATCAGTCTCAGTAATCCAGATGCATCCTTTGGACTCCAGGTGCATTCTAAACAAGGCAATTCGAGAATACTTTGGCAAATCTGTAATCCACCCATTGAATGGGCTTCAGAGTATCTCACAACTTTGGCAACTGCAGAAAAATCAAGGATTACACAAGCGAGGAACTACTATATTACATAGAAGTTGAACATTAGCCTTCAAACACAGGACATGAACTATTAGTACAGTATACTTTTCAATCGGGTTCACAGAATTTTATTAAAGCAGCAACCAACTTGATGTGAATGCTGCACTAAAAACAAAAATAATTATAATTTATTTTTCAGTGTTTTACAGTCGTAAGTGATTAGGTGTTATAAGAAGAATGTTTTACTTTTCTATACAATGAAACTTGTATACCCATGTCGTGAAATCCATTGCCACAAGCATCTCATCAGCACTTTAAATATGCCGACAAGCGATATTCTTTATTGACATGTCGACTTTATTTCCATTAGTTAAATTTATACAAAAATTATTTTTCATTACACACGGATCAAAGTTTCACATTTGAAAATTGTATCTTTTTCTCAATGAATGAGTTTTCTTTCTTCTCCACGTGAAATGAATAGTATTTCTGTTGTGGTGAATAATCTCACTAATCTGACCTAATTAAAACAAGCCTACGAATTTTATCGTGGCAAGGAGTACAAAATTAGATCTGTCGTTGGCAAGAGCCTTGAGCACCATACGGGTGACAGTACGACTTTGCCCAATTTTAAAGACGAGCACTCCGGGGGACGGGTCCGAGGATCTCCCACCCCTCTTTCCCTACCACCAACTTCTTGAGGGGACTTTCGGCTCGCCGTATATTTTAAGTGACCCCATGCCGCACAAATACTATACATTTGCAAACATCCATGCCTTCTCCAGGGTTCATTCCTTCTTTACGGCAGTTAGCATCACTAACCACTTTTCTGTCTGGGCGGTGAAGTGAATTGTAATAACTGTTATAACTGACGCTTCAGCCGCAAGCACTGATGTAGTCTTTTTAGTCAATGCACGCACATATTAGCAATTAGATCAGTGCCCTTAAGTTAATGGTTATTTCTGGTACAACCCATTACCAGTCAGCGGTACTGTGTAATTTTTAATGTTTTAACTTTATTTAAAAATACAAGCCAATAACTGAAAATATTATGGGTAATTTTTTAACTTAAAATGCAAAAAGCATCCTGAACTGTCCAGTCTATTTTAAAATTCAGAATTTAACATGGTGAGGAGAGGGAAAACGATACGAAGAAGGTTTTTCATAAATTTCGTAAGAAATGTCAATTGAAATTTGCTGTACTAAATCACAACGAAGAAACTCTTAGCTTCGGGTAAGCTCATTTGCCCAACTACGGTTTTCGGATAACACGATTGCCCAATTACAATATCCGGGCACCATGATGCCCGACTACGATTTCCGGAAGCCATGACGCCCGCCTCCACGATTGCTCGACAACATAATGGAAGATCTGCACGCAACAGATACCAATAGACGGCAGCAAATGAAATAAATAAATTGCTTAAATCTCTGTGAACTGCTCCTCTGTAGAAACAATAAGATTCAGAAGTGATAAAAAACTTGACTCATAACGTCCAGATTTAATTTCACTTAAGTTCTCATAATTTTTTAATAAATGTTTTCAAAAAATTATTACTTTTGTGTGTGTTACTTATATTTTTGGAATGTATTATCCTAGTTTTGTGCATTAAAATTTACGCACAACACGTCTTTCTCAATAACACGGTAAAAATGTTTTAAAAAATAAATAGTGAAATAATTATTTTAATATAACAACAAAACAGGTTTAAAACTATCAATGATATCGGAAAGTCTTATAAGAGGTCAGACCTATAAGTCGGTTAGTAATAATAATGTCCAAGAATCGTGGCATGAGACACATGAATTGTTGAGCAATAAAATCATCACCCTTTTGCTTGGTATGTATTAACAAAATATAATAATTAAATACGATGTTGAAATGTCTCAGTTACTTATTTTGTAGAGATATTTTTATACAATATTCATAATTTGATTGTACATATAGAGTGATTCTAAAACATCTCGTAAAAATAAGACTGGTAAAAATAGACCATGCGTGCGGAAAAGGCGCGTTGAGGTGGTAGAGAGCGCTGCTGCGACTAGTAGGTATAAGCGGTACGTGTGGGTTTCGAGTGGTATGCATCCCTATACGATCACGGATCTCGCCGATATGTGTTTTATCTATGCGGCTGTGGATGGTAGCAGAACAGTTGCTCAAAGAATATAAGATAACGACACCGAAAATTTAGCTTCCACACTGCTAAAGTTTTCGAACGTATTAACTGCAGTCGTGAATCTTGTATTGCTGCTAGTAGTTCTATTTCGAACACTTACTGTAAAAATTCTGAATTATAAGAATGTTTGTTTCTTTTGACTTAACCTGTCTTTCTTATTTACCTGTTGTTCATAAATTCGCCTTAGCTTTTAATATATAGACCTTCTGCACAGGAAGTACATGAGAATACAAATGACTGATCACTGTCTCGTTTGATAAGAAAAGTAAAACCAAGGAAAGAATCACATAAAATTCTGCATAATGTTCCTACACTTTTGAAATTTCTATAAAAAGTAAACTCCTTACAGTTTTTGACATTTCAGTCATAACTAGTCACGAATTAGTTGCAGCATAAATAATAACTGATAGCGATACATAATATAGTCGCGATTATACTGACAAAGAACATCATCATTGCAAGCTAACACTGTACTGCAATTGCTTTTTCAACTTTCAGTCTAATTTACCATCATTTACATTAAATTTTTTTTTAACATTTCCAACGTGGCGGTTTAAAAGATGTAGTACACACATGTCCATAAATTAAGGATAATGCAAAATCAGGCAAAGGAAGAGTTAGAAGCAAAACAAATTTGACTTATTTGTAAAGCTTATTTATTAAACAAAAGGTAAAGAGGAAAGAAAAAAAAAAAAAAAAAAAAAGATGCTATATGTTGGATATTATTAAAAAAATTAGCGATTTTTTCTCCCTGGAGCAAATTACAAAAAACACCTATTTATAAAAAACCAATATTACATGGTTGGTATGATTGTTAATACATTATATGTCTCCCAGACGATGCAATACAGTCCGTACAACGCCTAGGCATGCTGAGTATCAAATTATCGATCTGATCTTGGGGGATATTACACTACTCAAAAAGCAATGCTCTCCGAAGTTCCGGTAGACATGGAGGAGGAGATTGACGGGCTGCAACTCGTCGGCCAAGCATGTCTCACACGTGCTCTACTGGATTCAAGTCCGGTGAGAATGCTGGCCAGTCCATACGGGTGATATCCTCCGATTGAAGGCATTCGCTTACGGTGTTTGCACGGTGAGGACGGGCATTGTCATCCATAAACACAAATTGTGCGCCCATGGCACCCCGAAACAAACGTACATGTTGTTCCAGAATGACGTCCCGATAGATTGGCTTGTCATGGTTCCAATTTGAACATGCAGGTCAGTTCTGGAACCCAGAATAATTCCACCCCAAACGAGCACTCCTACACCACCGTAACGGTGTCGTTCAATGATGTTTCCTTGGTTGTAACGGGTACCTGGAGCTCTCCATATGAAACTCCGGCGAGAATCAGACTGCAAGCTAAACCTGGATTCTTCGGAAAACATCACATAAGCCCACGGTTGCGGTGTCCACAATGCATGCTCTCTACTCCAGGCTAACCGCAGGCGACAGTGAGTTGTAGTAAGTGGAACGCATCTGACAAGTCTACGAGCATATAGAACCAATCTGCCCTAAGCGTCTGTACACGGTCTGCCTTGAAATTGTCGTACCTGTGGCTGAAGAGAGCTGACGAGACAGGTCTGAGGCTGTGCTCCGCCTGTTTCTTTTGGCAGTAACTGCCAAATACCGGTCCTCATTCGGTGTTGTAACTCTGGGGCGACCTGTGCTGTAACGTCTATTCACATTACCATCATCTTAGAATCGTTGCCAAAGCCTGGAGATGACACTCTGGGCAATTCCAAGTTCGTCTGATACTTCCAGTTGAGTACGCCCACATTCCAGACTGCCGATAATTCTACCACGTAAAAAATCATCCAAATGCGCCCTTTGTGTCATAACTATTCGGTTATTGCACTGAAATGCTTATAAAGCGCCTGCGAACAATTTTACTTCTTTGCCTGCATTCCTTATATATCACTCTCTTACACTTTTGTCATTGTGACGTACCATCGGAGTCATCTGGTTACTTCCTGAAATTTGCATATGATTCTTGAAGATGTGTGTAGTGATTTTACAGGTGATATATTTATTTTAGAGTTCGATTTCCGCGTGACTCCGAATTATCCTTAATTTATGGACATGAGTGTACATACATATAACATGTTTACCAATTCATAATATTTATGGAAGTTTAAAGCAAGTATAATATCTTACGAACTCTGCCAAAACATTTCAGAGTAACACGTTTTATATTACACATAGTAATCTATTACAAGTAATCGATTTGCCAATTTTAATTCCCTTCTCACTTTATAAAGCAATTTTCAGATTCAACCTCATACAACAGAGCTCAGTCATGAACAAGTAATTTAAAATCTATTTTATTTGGTAAATGAACTAAACTTTATTAAATTAACTGTGAAACATGATTATTAGACTACCTTTGCAATTTGCAAAATCCTTTTCAAAATGGAGGTTAGAATTTTTACAGGTTTTTGGGCTCATACTATATATAATTTAGATATCTCTAACAAATACATCTAAGATACATAAAATGATGTATAGAGGGAAATACAAACGAAATTTTGAGAACAAACCAATGGACATATAACCAATGGACATATAAAATGCGCTCTCCGTTGAGGGCGGGAACGCATATATAGACAATTGTTTGATCATGGTGAAACTAGACATTGAACAATGAGGACATAAAAATGTGATCAATTTGTAGAATAATCAGTTCATTCACCGAACAAACACAGATCCAGAACTGATACGTGTTAGTAAGATGCATGGGTTCTAACAGCAATGCACCTGGTATTTGGTCTAAGAAGACTCAAAAAAAACATTGGACGCTATTCTGCGTGCTATGTATTCTT